GATAGCGATAGGCCGGTAGTTGGACGGGTCTGAGCGGTCGCCTTTTTTAGGGATCGGGTGGACGAAAGCCGTCTTCCATGATTTTGGGGCTACGCCTAGGGAGTAAGAGTACCGGAAAAGACGCGTTCAAACCGGTGCCAACTCTGGAGCACACGTCCTCAGCACAATTGGGGGGATTCCGTCAGGCCCACTTGACTTGTGGATGTCCAGGGAGAGGCGTGCTTTGCGAACCGAGCGCTGTGTGAACTTCACTTCCGGTATGGAGCACTCACACCGCGGGATGATCGGCGGCGTACTCCCCCCGTCATCGAGGGTCGAGTTGGATGCAAAGAAAGAGCCTAGAAGATCGGCTTTCTCCTTTGCGGTATGGGCCAGTAAGTCGTTCTCCCTGTGCAGAGATGGAAGAGATGGCTGACAGAAATTCCCCTGGACAGCCTTGACGAAAGACCAGAATGCACGGGTTCCAGAAGGAAGGCGAACTAGTTTCTCGCCAATTCTGACTATGTGCTCTGACTTTGCCTTGGCAATGACTCTTTTGAAGGACCTAGAGGCGGAATTATACTTCCTTTTTTAGAGCGCTGGTGTTTACATCCCGGGACGCTGATGCGTCAGCCCATGCTTGGTAGCACTTCTGCTTATAGCATGATGCTATTTTACAGGAGCGACCAAACCATGGCTGAGATTTGCCTCCAATGGGCACCACAAAAAAAGGAATAAAAAGTTCCATACCCTGAAGCACCACATCAGCGACAGAATCCGCAACAACGTTTGGATCTTCCGGCGAGAAGCAAACCCGCCCCCAAGGGTAGGATGCAAATAAAGACCGCATCCCATTCCAATCGGCTGACTTATAGTGCCAAACACGGCGGCAGCCCGCAGAATGCAACTGCGATTTCAACGTGAGTGGCACCACACTCCGAACAAGACAACGGTCCGAGAAGCCTAAAGGGGCGTCGACGGAAATCTGATATCCATCCGGGTGAGAGGTCAGCAGAAGGTCCAACAGGGAAGGTGCATGATCTGGAATCCGCGTAGGCGAAGTAACCAGTTGAGTCAGACCATATGCCAAGGCAAAATCATGAACAGATCTCCCCGCATGATCGGTTAAACGTGAAACAAGCCATTCGGCGTGATGGGCGTTAAAGTCGCCGAGAATCATGATCTCTGCGGAGGGGATCTGCTGTAGCAACGAATCTGTAGCCATTTGGACGTGGTCGAAGAGTCGTCTGTTTCGGCATTACCGCTATGGGACCTATAGAGGCACCCGTAGACGCGCGGATGGTCGTCGCTGTCTACGCCTAGCCAAAGGATGGACAGGTCCGAACCTTCTAGTTTACCGAGGCGTCGAGAACAGATGTCCTCTCTGACGTAAACGCAAACTCCAGCCCGAGGCACAAAGGAGTGTTCCAGTTTGTACCCCGGGTAGGAGAGATACGAGACATCAGCCGGAGAGGACACCTGCGTCTCGGTCAGAAAGAGCAGAGCCGGCCTCGCCGTCTCGAGATGGTAGTGGACGGCGTTTAGGTTAGAGTGAAGTCCCATGATATTGCAGAAATTCACGGACAGCGTGGCAGGGGTCGCCTTGGTCTTGTTGCTCCGTTTGCCCCGAGCAGTTGTAGTCTTGAGCGGAATTTTGCCCTCCCCCTCCTAGAATACGCGGGGCAGCCTGATTACCTACGCTCAGAAGTGGAGAAACATGCTCGTGGATGCTCAGCGAGGGATTCTCCAGGGGCGCTGGTACCCTCCTGGGGTAGTCTCCTTCATCATCATTATTTAATTTCGCTACCATGTTGATGGGGGGGGGGGGATTTGGGCCTCCGGCCACCTGCACTCACCAGACGAAACGCGGAAGCAGAGCTTCCACTTCACGCCGGTATTCTGTGAGGTCGTGGTACCCCGGTTTGAGCCGGCCCATACGTGCAACAGCAAAGCTGCCGCGTGGCTCTACCACTGTTACAAATCTCTATAATGAAAAGAAATACCATTTGTTTTACAATTCCATGCAGACAACGAACAATAAAGCCCTGGATAACTGTAGGAGTATTGAGTTGCATTAGAAACAGAGACCGCATGCATAAAAACGTCAAACGTAACCCAAATAACGTGATACTGGAAAAAACTTACAAACGCTACAGGAATTTTTGTACTAATCTTGTAAAAATCTCAAGAGAGACTACGAGAGATCTGAACTTTTAAAGGCTAAGAAAAGTCCTTTCCTTATAGTCCTACCATTATAACTTTTAAATTTGTGCGATGATGCTAAAATATCAGTTGATACCGTAAATTCATTCTTTGCAAATATAGGGAAAGAACTTGCAAATAAAATTAAATCAAATTTAGAATCTATTGACTCACCACCTATCTTCCTGGACTCTCCTTCACATTCTATGGTTAACCTCGAAATCGATGAAGATGAAGTACATGATGCTATTATGAGCCTACGAAATGACAGTGCTGTCGGGTGGGATGGCATACCAGCCCAAATTTTTAAATCAAACCCAGTTCTCACACCTATAAATACTCACCTATGTAACTTGGCGATATCCACTGGGAAGTTTCCTGTCGCCCTGAAAAGGGCAATTGTACATCCCATATATAAAAGTGGGGACAGAGGCAATGTTAAAATTATCGCCAAATATCTGTCCCTCCCGCTCTGTCTAAAGTATTTGAGCGTATCCTAAATCGCTATCTGGTTCGCTTTCTTGAATCAAATAGTTTACTTATCTTCACGCACAATCCCTAACGGGGTAGCCAGAGAGAACAGATCGCCAAGTATCACGATCCTTACATACCTCTTTCGCTTCTTTCAGGTTCATTATCTTCTTCATACATGCACGTCTAGGTATCCGAGTACTATTGACCTTCCCCTCTTCGAGTAATTTGCTCACATGGTCTTCGAAAGTTAGTCTCGGTCTACCTCGACAACTTTTAATATTTACTTTCGCGCTATTATATATATTTATATATATTTACGCCCCTATAAATTTCTGTCAAATATCAATAGCTTAATCTCCAAAAATCAATTTGGCTTTAGAAGGGGCAGGTCTACCTAGGATGCTGTTGCTTCCCTGGTAGAGCATGTAGTCACCGAACTCGACGAAGGCAGAAAATGTCAGGGTATTTTCCTGGACCTTTCTAAGGCATTCGACACTGTCTCTGTCCCAATTCTGTTAAATAAGTTGGAAATGCTGTGTATCAGGGGTTGTATCCTGGAAATATTTGCTGATTACTTATCGTTAGGTCGGACACAGTGCACAAATATAGGCTCTTTTGTCAGCAAATCCGAAGCCCTTGAATTTGGAGTTCCTCAGGGTAGCATTTTAGGGCCCACGTTATTCCTGTCCTACCTAAATAAGCTCTGTGACTTACCTCTATCTGATTGCCGTATTGTTACTTATGCTGATGACACGGTCCTTGTTGTTTCTAGGAATAACTGGTCAGAAACAATTAGGATGGCATAGAATAATTTTAGAATGGTTATGACGTGGCTAAATCGTAATTTTCTAACCTTAAATATAGATAAAACTAAATTAATAACCTTTTCTATAAAACCCTCTGCACAACCACCAAGCGAGTGCTTCGATATGCGTGCTCACAATTGCTCCAGTGGGACTTTTCACTGTAATTGCCCAAAATTGCAAAGAACCCATACCATTAAATACTTGGGTATTCAAGTGGATAATTGTTTGAACTGGTATAGTCAAGTAGGTTCCGTTGCTGGTCGGTTACGTAACCTAATCTACATCTTTAAAACATTACGTAGTTCCGTGAATGCAGATATCCTGTCATCTGTGTACACCGCCATTTGTGAGTCAATCATATCATATTGTATCCCGATATGGGGTTGTGCCTCTAAGACTACCTTCATTAAAGTTTAGCGCGCACAGAGGGCGGTGTTAAAGGTTATGCATAGGCGGCCTTGGAGATACCCGATCGGGCAACTTTATAAGGATTGTAATGTACCTACAGTTAGGCAACTTTACATCCTTCGCTCAATTCTGCATCTACATCAAATAGTACTTTCACGCCAAGGAGACGTCAAAAAGCAGCATGTCCTGTCAAAACATGTAGGGCTTCTTTTGCTAAAAAGCAATTATCCTCGTCAAGCTCGCGGTTATACAACTAAAACGTTAAAGATAAATAAGTTGAACGCCTACGAAGTAAAAAAAGGTAATTTCGTACCTTAATGAATTAAATTACAGTGCCACTGAAGCTTTAATATCCTAAACCCTACAAAATGTATACACACACATGCATACACACACATACATACACACACACACACACACACACGCACACGCACGCACGCACGCACGCACGCACGCACGCACGCACGCACGCACGCACGCACGCACGCACGCACGCACGCACGCACGCACGCACGCACGCACGCACGCACGCACGCACGCACGCACGCACGCACGCACGCACGCACGCACGCACGCACGCACGCACGCACGCACGCACGCACGCACGCACGCACGCACGCACGCACGCACGCCCGCACGCACGCACGCACGCACGCACGCACGCACGCACGCACGCACGCACGCCCGCAGACACAGGCAGGCAGGCCCACCCCACCCCACTTCAGTCGTATCAAAGAGACGAGTGTAAGTGGACGTAGCATAGTTGACAGGTACAAACGTCGTTGATACGGTGGCTATGGATACGGTCTGTTATTTATACTGCGGCGTGGTGTCTGATCGCAGCGAGCTATAGAGACAACTTACCAATATTTCCTGTTAATCAAAGGCCCATAGACTGGTCGTTGACACGTTTTGCGATATAAGTCAAAGCCAAGTTACAACAGCTAACATAGGAATCTATGTTAGCTGTTGTAACTTGGCTTTGACTTAATTTAATGGTACATTGTAACGCCATTCACCATCCATTCACCATTTCAACCCTTTGAAAGTCCACTGCTGAAAATATATCTCCCCCTAGTACAACTGCAACCATCGTCTCGGGTAAATTATAATTTATATTATTTCTTATCATTATTCTAAAGTAGTAGGATGTATTAAAGTATCATATTTCATTAAACTTACAGTAACAGGGCCCAGATCAATTTCTCTGGACCCAGCAATATCTAATGGTGCTCCCAAGGCTTTCTTCGATCCTCTCTTCTTTGGTTTTAAGTGCTTCAAGAGATTTCTACGAATGTAATATCCTCTATAGGCGGCCTGAGAAAGTAGTTTTGTGAGTCAAATTCATTGCTTTGTTGATAGGACAGTGTTTCGGGAAAAAAAAGTTTGCTTAAATTGTTTTTTTTTCTATTTACCAATAAGAAATGAAACTAAAAATATGCACGCTCAGAAGATTGGTGTTTAAATCTCATAGTATATGAAATACTCGCAAACCAAGTGAATTAAAAAAAAATATTAAACGATTTTTTTTATATTCTTACATCACCATAATATTTTGAGTTATGTTCAAAATTTTAACTTTAGCTCATTGGGAAGTAAGTTTAAAATAAGTTACTAAATTCTACCCAAATAGACATACACGAAGGCGAGTTAATAAAAATATGGTAACAAGTGACTTTTTTAAATAATTTATACCACCTTTTTTAATCATATTCCTGCATTGTCATCCGAATTTCAGCAATATTCAAAATTTCAAATTCCAAGCACATCGGGAAGTTATAACTCGTACGAATTAACTTGAGACCTGTGCCGATGACGTAATTGTCAATGTACGGTGTGCAAAATAATGCGTCGTAATATTTTTTTATTTGAAATTTTTGAGATTTGCATGAGATTATTAATAAAAACAAAATAAAATGTTCTGGCAAGGGGTGAAGTAATAAGTGCCATTTTTATATATTTTAAATATATATTTTTTATAATATATACAGAGTGAATTTGAAGTTATCACATTAAATGAAAAGACATATCCTACATAACGTTCTTTTCACATACATAACTAAAAGAAATGTAAAAATTACATCCTAGTCCCAGTAGCCTCTTTTTTCGATTTAATATTAAACAACATCATGTAAATGCATATATTTATCACCTGACGAATACTAAAGGGTCAAAGACCCAAGGCCAGCAAAGGCGAAGATACCTAGTTCAAACGTTGCCATTCCGAATTACAAAAATAAAGGAAAAATCAAGCAAAAATATACTTAAGACTAACGATATAAGGCATAATTCTTGTGCACGAAATTAACAAAGAAAAAAACAAAGGGACCGCGTGATGCGAGTGTGTGAAAACAAATTCCAAGCAAAAATATTTACTTATAATAGATGTCCGAAGGCATAATTCGCTATGTGTGAAGTGATAAGAAATGGACCGATAAGAGTGATTATTTGGATAAAAACAATACCATAAAGTCTGTGATTTGTTTATAACATCTCATGAGCATCGTCTTACACGTGCCTAGTTGCCTATGTATGGGCAAATGTAGGTAATCTTTGTCAATGCCGCCGTGTCGTCGCGATGTTGCCGCTTATACAGGTCAGTAAACTAATATTATCCAGGATGATTTATTTCGTGTAATTTTTTACGCTATTTATTTTGTTTGAAAGATGCACTTTTTGTCTTTTGGTATTATGGTTTATTTGATTATTTCAACAGACGTATATCAACTTGCATTAACTGCTGTGCTATAAAATGCGATAACCTAATCGCCACCCAGTATAATATTATTTTTAGTTAACGCGTCAAGGAAGGACAAAGAAATAAACATACACACTTTCTCATTTATAATATTATTAAATTATAATATTATTAATTTTATAATTGATATGCCTGTTGCTGCACAAGCCCTCTTTAAAGCTTGGTCCACAGGAATAAGAAACTTTTTATTTGATTTTTCATCTTCAAAAGTGTCCGTGCTTGGCTATGTATTGTCTTTCCTCCCATCTTTTTTTAAAAATAAAAAGGCGGAGTAACTCCTAAGCGTCACAAGAAAACGGCACAACACAACGTCCAAACTTAACAATAAAACAACGCAATTAACAACAAACAGATAAAATAACGTTCAAGTATAACAAAAACAAACAAAAGTCCAAACCAAACAACAAACAATTATCAAAAATATCGAACTAGAGTCGAGACGCGTATCCGTAACAAAAATGCTATCGGTACTGAGCGCGCACGGCCAGCTCGGGACGCGGTGCGGGGAGTCGGGAAGGGGGTCGCATACCAGCGGAGTCTCAAGTTAATTCGTACGTGTTGTAGTTAAAAACCAAGTAGGTATACTAAATTCTATGTGGCACGATAGACAGAACGACAGACAAGAAAGCGTGGTAAAATAAGATGATGACATTAATCAAACACTTGTTTGGTATTAAAGAATTTTTTTATACTTACAAGTGAAGGTCACAAACAAGCAAATAGGTCCATATGAGGGTTACAGGATTTTACGGAGGATGAGTCAAATAATATCTACAAAACACTGTCATGCTTTTGGGACAGTTTAGCAAATATTATGAATGCCTAATGTTTGTTACTCTTAGATGGATATTAAAGAAGAAATTACTTGAATTCTCTCCGTAGCTCTATGGAGTTCGTTAAGTGACGGTTTGGTCTTTTTGTACAAAGCTAAAGTACGTTCGGCTGCCACTTCCCAGGGCTCTTCAGCGCGCATAGTCACACCCTATTCATAGAAAAACTTTTTTTAATATATTTATTTAAAGCAAATAAAACAGTTGAAATACCTATTGATATATTTAAAATGGAACTAAATTACACAGTATATATACATTATACATATTACAATTCGTGGTAGAGCCACGCTGCAGCTATAATTATGATTGTAGCATAAATAGGTCGGCTCGCCCGGGGAAGGACCACGCTCTCACAGAATACCAGCGTAAAATAACAGCTCAATACTGCTGTGTTTCGTATGATGAGTGTAGAGATCCGGAGACCTTTTTTTACTGGAAACAAGGCATTCCATCTTAGTCCTCAGGGGTGACAACGCATCTGCGTTTTGATTCTTAACCCAGGATAAATGTAGTTTCCTATAGGCCACAGCACCCCTAAATTGTACATATTATACGTATTCCTATAATGTAGTAATAATCCCCAGACCGAATTTCGGTCAAGGCGACCAGTCTCAATGGAGACTAGCCATCTGCGCAGTTCAGGATTATAGTGTACGAGTGTGTGCGTGAATATAGGCGCATTCTCTATACCCTCATTATCATTGAAAATCCGGCACGACCAAAGAGAGATTAAGCGCACGACCAACTGCTTTATGAGCTTTTCTAGACACGAAACACTGCCAACTTGTTGACTTCGAATTCGAACTGCTACTGGAATTTATTAACAGAAAAATTTCTAACAGATTTTGGGTCAACACGGGATTTAAACCCGCGCTTACGACCTCTAGATCTACGAGGCGATTTATTCCTATATGTATTGGGTTAATAGGTATACGTTCGTTTCGCAAAATCTTCTTCTTCATAGGTACGTGACAGCCCTCGGTCGAACTAGGCCCTCTTCCCATGGTTAGAAGAACTTCCCTTAATCTTAATTTATCTCTACCGTACCTTGGGAGGACGCTTGGCGGGTGAATTGAGGATCACAATACCAAATGTCTAGCCGTTGATATTGTTTCCCGTCGTTGGTGTGGGTATTTTACGTCTAGTGCAAAAAATGGTTACACCGCCATCTGTCGGATGTTATAAGATTCTTCTAGCCTCTCCCATAGTCGCGTCTTAGGACACACGGGACAAGGAAACCTCTCGAGACACGTGCCAATACCACGAGCTGGGAGCTATGAGACTATATTGTTATATTATATAATAATAAGTCACATGCTCTATGTAGTAAATAAAAAAAAGTTACTTTCAATAAGCATTATTTATAATCTGTACTCAATTAAAAGTTTGTATCTGTGTTTATTTATAATCTGTACTCAATAAAAAGTTTCTATTTCTGTTGGTCTGGGACTTATGGGTCCCATGGGTCCATGGACACCTGCAGACAAATTGCAACAAAAACGTCTAAGGGAAGTCTGCAGTCTGTGAACATTTTGAAGATCATCCCCGCCTTTACATAAGAGTGATCAACCACAAATCCTCGCAAAAGAACATCGATTCCTACCAAAGACGATATGCGAGGCTATTGAAATTCAACATCCTAATTTCAGTAGAGAAGATGGATGGGTGCTGCCATCTGCGTGGGATCCTATAATTAACAAAATTAAATCCAAACCCAAGCATACCACTGCAAGACTTCAAGATAATGTAAGCGCGTTCTGCGTAGATCGCATCAAAAGGAAGCGGCTAACTATGCATAGGGACGTCAAATATCTCAGTTTCCCCCATGACCATGGATGCTGTAAAGCACCCGAAACATAAGGGATTAAAAATAAGTAAACTAAACGCGATAAATCTGTAAGATAGTTTTATTAAATGCGTAGTATTCGTGTAAAAATAAGAAATCATAAAGACGGCTAGGTATGGCTTGACATCTCTTGTGCCTAAGATAGAATATACTCCATCTCTATACCCTTCTCACTGGAACACGATACTGTAAGCACTACCATTTGGCGTCAGAGCCTACACACTCTCTCACGTGGCTGCTGCAGCCCATAGACGTCTACATCTATCTTCAATTATGAATCAAAATGCAGATGCGTCGTCACCCGTGGGGACTAAGATGGAATGCCTCCTTTCAAGTAATAAGGGTCTCCGGTACTCTAAACTCACCACACGTTGGTATTCTGCGAGAGCTTGGTCCTTCCCCCGAGCCGACCTATTCGTGCTACAAATATATTACTAATTTAGCTGCAGCATGGCTCTGCCACGTAAACCCACTCTTTTCTTACCTTACACTTAAGGGGAAATATAACCTCAAATGGCTTAGCAAGATCCTCCGTTATGCCGAAAGTATTGCAGCATTAATTTTGAAATATATATATGGTAAAGTTGAGGATTAATTTTAAGGACTGTGTTAGACGAAAACACGATTCCGTAAAATTTTCTCGATAGAAAAAAATCCAAAGTTAGCTCCAAACTGAACAAAAAACCGCTGTTATTCATAAAATACTTTAAATAAGATCATGAAACTTTGCATACTAACTGAACTATAAAGCAGTGCTTATGTTATTTACTTTTTTTAAAATACCATTATTTTCACTGTAAAAAGAAATTACCTAAACTATCGGCGCCTTGAAGCATGATTCCTGTCGCCCCGTTAGTATCGCTTAGGCTTTTGAAGGCAAAAGTTGTGTCGCTTACGATCAGAATACATATTACGCAACAGGATGACGTAAAATTAAAATAGGAAATAACCGTGATAAAAATAAGAAGCGACTGGGTTGGAGTTAAGAAACAGGCATAAATATGATAAACCTAATGAAATAAGTATCTAACGACCTATCTACTTACGGTATTAGTGATTACAAACATGTCGGTACATAGCATACGACGCGCGGGGAAGTGGGGGCGAAATTAGAATTTGAGCTGACTTACTATATCCCCTTAACACGTTGACCGCCAAACCCAAAAACTATGTTTTTTTAAATTTTTGAACTTGCATTTTTTTGTTTTAATTTTCATTGTAATACTATTCCTATAGTAAAATCATGTTAAATTATTTTGTTTTTCCATGATATTTTCCATGATTTTTCATGTGTGCCAAAAAGAAAGACGAGGCCCCTGATAAAGTTTTTACTTAAAAAGATCCGAAAAAGATGAAAGTACGTTGTGTCGAAGGCTATAAGATGTATGGAAGGCAAGGAAAAATTGTTGAAGGAAAACGCGAATTTTCCAAACAAACGAAGAGAATTTGCCCTATTTGCCAAGTTTTGCTAAAAAACTACTAACTATACGAGACTGTAATATTCTATCCATTTATCTACTGTTGATTTTGTGTGTTTCTAAAAGAAATGAGAATAATACAAATAAATGCTATTTCTAAAAATCGGTGTTTTTTTATTTTTGTATAACTTTTTACCTAAAAGACATATAAAAAACCCACTCGGACCGAAAAGTTCGTGGAGAAGCAAAAGATTCCGTAGTAAAATGTATGAAAACTTGTTTCCTAGTGGATACACTGGCCTCGAACTAAAGGGTCGACCGTGTATCCAAAAAGAAACACGCGGCCTCAGATGGTAACATTTTGTGTTTCCAAAAAGAAACACATGGCGCTCAACGTGTTAATATTAAAAACAATACAATCACCTGTTCCATTAGTTTCTTCTTATACCAGTAATCTTTGTAGGCGTTCCTGGCAATTTGACACACTTTGGCGGCCATTTCCTCATCTAATTGTGCTCTAGATAATATTTTCTTCAAAATACTTGCTTCTCTTATTTTTTCTAGAAGTTTGAAAGGCATGAGTGTATAAATATTTATATTATACTGCCGATCCGACCTGGATTTGCACGGGTAATTTCTGGATCTCGACAATAGCGGCACCTATCGGTTCCATCGAGAATTTAAACAATTCTCAAATTAAATTAGTCACACATACAGACGTACAAAATTTTATCTAAATTGATCCAGCTGTTTATTTTATTTTATTATTTAATAATGCTGATAAAAATATTATATCTCGTTGTATTTTGTGCAAGCGTAGCCCATTCCCAGTCGAACAGATTCGACCCGTTCGTAGTATCCATATTAGGCTGCAGCGTGATTCTACTATAAGTGCATTTAAGAGATATGTAAAGCAACAAGAAAGAATCCGCCGCGCTGCGAAGGGCATAATGCTGGCTTTTCGGCTCCGTAGTTTTTTCTACAGAAGAGGGGGCAAGCAAGCATGCGGCTTACCTGATGGTAAGTGACTGCAGGTGCGTTGTCGGCCTTTTGAAAAGGAGTTAGATCTTTTCTTGAAGATCCCTAAGTCGTATCGGGCCTGAAAAATCGCCGATGGTAAACAATTCCACAGAGAATTTGTACGAGGAAGAAAACTCCTAGTAAAACGCACAGTGATTAATCCGAACAATTCCTCAAAGCACTCCCCGTGGTAAATGCGATAGAAAATGCAAAGGCATGCAACATCCCTATGCAGCGCCAGTGAATCGAGCCGATCAAAAAGAACTTGGTCATCGACGATTCGAACCGCTCCGCGCTGGACGCGGTCAAATGGAAGGAGCTGGCACTGGGGTGCCCCAGCCCAGAGATAAGAACAAAGTATTCCATGTGAAGCTGAACTTGCGCTTTGTAAAGTTGCAAGCGATGTGCCGGCATGAAATACTGTCTCGCTCTGCTGAGCACGCCAAGCTTTTTAGAGGCCAATTTGGCCTTCCCGTCCAAGTGACCACGAAACTTCACACTATTCGATATGTCGACGCCGAGGATTCCGATGTGAGATGAGATACGATAAAGGGGTTCTTTTTAGCAGTAAACGCGCAAACTAACGTCTTTACATAATTAATTATCACATAATCAAATAAATCTTCATTTCATTTCATTTCATTTCATAATGTACACAACAGTGCAATGGCTTAGTAATAACAATAGCTGGGGTTCGAATTCCGCACTAAACAAGTATTTGTATGGCATACAAGTAACTTTTTTGGGTCTGGATGTTTCTCTTTGTGCAATTGATGAATAGTATAAACTACCTCCACGTTACAGGAGAAAATCCTATTGTCGTGTTAGTATCGTTTTAAAAAAATAAGTAAAAAAATCATAGCACGATATTTTTTTTACAACTGTGTAAACCATAATTCATGCCTATGTCAGTAGTGTACTTTACAGACTTTAAGAATGGATGGCTGAATTACCTTTTTCTTTTTTTTGCTCGAAGTTCTCAATCTCATCTTTTATGACCTGTGCCAGTGAGGTAGCGGTGTCTTTCTCCAGGCCCAGTTGGATCAGATGCTCAGAAACGGTAGGCCTGCAGTCGCACAGGTCCTCCAGTATCCTCACAGCCATCACGCCATGCTCGCGGGTAATGAGCAGGGCAGACAGATAGTTGGAGACGAAATCGCATATGTTTTTTGGTTGCTCTCGGAGGACCTGTTAAATAATATGGCTTATATATATATATATATATATATATATATATATATATATATATATATATATATATATATGGATATATATAAATAATAGATATGTATGTATGTATATATTTATATAATATATATTTTCTTTTAAGAGTAGTTTTCCGTAACTGACGTGCATGAAAACCTTAAGCCCCTCTTTTTAAACAAAATACCAGTTCATTTATTTATGAACCGTTTTATAGACTTTTTTTCATTTGAGCACAGTCAATTTAAATTTCATTTTAAGACTAAGTAAATATTTCGCAATATTAATTGTTTTTACATTCACCTCTTATGAAATAAAACGGAATGCTACCGAGAATCAAACGTTTGGATTTAGTATCATCAATCATCATTATCATGAAGGCAAACTCTTGAATAAAATAATTTTACGAATTTCATCTCGTTTAACTTCGTTATTCTATAATTTGCTCTCAGTGGCCGTGGTCATGGGTTCTATAACGTGTAAATATGTCAAAATTAAACGCAATAAATTCCTTAAAATAAATTTTCTCAACGTGTAGTATTCGCGTAAGTTTCTTCTTCCTTCAACGAGAGATGCACATGCCATAAAGAGGGTTTTAACAGGCTAGTAACGAAGAAGAAGGAGAAAGAGATATATTCTATATCAGTTAGATCACTGCAGTCGGGTTCTTCGTTGGGCTGCGATAGTCTATCATCTTTTCAATCTTGCATGGAAGATTAATGACTCTTCGCTGTTCTTTTTTTATAGAAAATAGTGACAACTGAGCACACAGTCCATCTGATTGTAAATGGATGCTGTGATCCATAGACATCTACAGTTATTCCCGAATAAAAATCATCCCTGAGGGCTAAGATGGAATGCGTCGTTTCCAATAAAAATTATCTCCGGATCTTTACATTTACCATATGGGACACAACAGTATTGAGCTGTGTCCCGAATTTTTGGGTGCTTTTCAGCACCCGTGGTCACGGGGGACTAAGATAACTGACGTCCCGATGTCATTATTAACCCGGAGTATTGCAGACTTTCCGGAACTTTGATGCTTCACGTCAGCTATATGTTCTAGCGTGATTATATCCTAGGCGGCTCCAACCATTACATCAGATTTGATAGACCGCAAATCTTTGCGAAAAACATCGATGCCTACCAAGCATGATACGTGAGGCTATTTAAATTAAAAAAAAAACATCCTAATTTAATAGAGAAGGAGGCTGGGTACTACCACCTGCTTGGGACCCTGTAATTAATAAAATTAAAACTAAGCCCAAGCATACCACTACAAGACTTCAAGACACAGTTAGTTCATTTTGCGTAGATCGGACCATAAACAATAGTTAAAAGCTGAAGGTACTCCGGGTTAATATTGACATCGCATTGGGATGTCAGTCGCGTCAGTTCCCCGTGACCATGGGTGCTGGAAAGCACCAGAAACGTCGGGAAATAAAAATAATTTAAATTAAACGCGATAAAATCCGTAAAAGTAGTTTTAATCAATGTGTAGTGTTCACGTAAATATAAGAAATCATTAATAAAATTCCTTTTTCATATGGACCAGATATAGAGGTGTAAACAAATTAACTCCTTCAAGTCATTTTTTTCCTGGTTTGGCAAAAGTCATTAATTACGATCATTGAGCTATTACGTACTACGTACGTACATATTACTTCAATGATTACGATCAAGGAAATAACTCTCTGTTGAGAGATTATGATTGACTTGTTAATAACTATTCCTATTGCCTATAAATTACTCACTTCTCGAGTTATGTCGGACATGAGCTCCTTAAGACCTTCGGGTACTGTGAACACGTTGGAGCAGCCGTGCTTCTGCAGTAAGTCGTTCATTTTATTCCAAAATTAGTGATTATTGGGAATTATAATATTCTCTTTTCTTGCATCTCATGACACTGACAGTTTTTCTATGTATTCATTACAATAAATTTAAGTGTCATTTTCAAAAAGAGGTCAAATAAAATATTGAATCACGAAAGACGTATTTTAAGAGATGATTAGCTGACTCAGCTAACGTTGGTCCGCCTTTTCTGGTATGGTTTCACAAAACACATTGTAAATATAACATTTATTAAAACTATACCACATCGCCATCTATCGGTACAGATTTTGTATCTTTCTTTTTGACACTAAACCAACAGAAAAATAAGAAGAAAGAAAATTTTGACATAAACCATTGACGCGCACAACAATATCTTTATAACTTAAAAATAATTAGATTTAATGAATTTTACTTTGGACGTCAAAGATCTGCCAAAAAAGACCATCACTCAGCTCATGATCTTCTATTTTACCTGACTCATCGTTGAGCAGAGGCAGTCCAGTCCAAGAGGAAGGCCTTAATAGTTAGTTTGGAGTTTGGACACGGCGAAAGCCTTTGATCGGGTTTGGATCAAAGCCCTTCTTTCTAAACTTTGCCGTCATGGGCTTATCGCGAAGTTATGCATTTGGGTCACAAGTTTTTCGCAGATCGGAGCATCAAGGTTGATGTCTACGGTACATGTTCGTACTCAAAACCTTTGGTAAAAACTGTGTGTTTTGTAGTGCCTATAATGTTTTTGCAGAAAAAAAACTAACGTTTTTACAGAATAATACAATAAAACTAATTGCAACTGCAATGCTCACTAGACTAAATATTTCGTTCCATCACAATGATGTGCCTTCTGTTCTATCTCTGCACAGAGAGAACGACTCACTGGCTCAAGTCGCAAAGGAGAAAGTAGATCTTTTAGGGACTCCTTTTGAGTCCAACTCGACTTTTAAAGACGGTGTACCATACCGGGGTACCACCTCAATCTCCCGTTAAGATTTCTCTATGCTGGATGTGCGGTTTAGGCAGCTCTTAATGTGCAAATCACTTCCCTGTCTGAACGTCAACAAGTCCAGTGGTCCTGATAAACACTATTGTGCTGAAGAAGGGTGCTGTAGAGCTAGCACCGGTTAATGTGTTTTTTAGGTACTCCTTCTCCCTAGGCGTAATCCTGAACTTATGGAAGGTCCATCTACAAGGTTATCACCATTGCCTCCTTGTTCTCCAAAATAGTGAAATCTATTATAAACTGCCAGCTTATAAGGTACCTCGAGGACCAGCAGCAGATTAGTGACCGCCAATGCGAATTAATGAGCTGTTTCTAGTTTTAATCTTCTAATTTCACTGACTCATATATGTGCATAAGCAGTAGAGTTCAAGAGGGCGGCCTTGGTCGTTACTTTAGACGCAGACGCCCTACGATAGGATTTTGCACAAAGCTCTTCTTTAGAAGTTTCCTTCCTATAGGCTTCCCGAGATTTGTGCAATTGGACCATCCGTTTTCTTGCAGATCAGAGCATCAAGGTCGTAGTAGATGGTGCATACTCCGATTATGAGTCTATTAATACTTGTGTTTTACAAGGTGCATGCTATGCTCTACGCTTTTTCTTCTGTTTGTCAGTTAAATGTTGCTGTTACTAATTGTTACTGGTGATGCTCTTTATACGGACCTTGCGAATATTTCGCTAGAACACGTCATTGAGTATCGGAACAAACTTTTGTCCGAAGTTGAGTCGCACGTGCGCACGTCGACTTCGTCGTCCGCAACATCAGATGTGCAGCGTCGATGCTCCATCCCGTCCTAGCATCCAAGTTACCAACGAAAACCAAACTAAAATTATATAAACTATACATTAGACCATTGATAACATACCCTATTCCGTCCTGGTACGCACTGCTGAGCAATCGAAAGAGGCGGCGACTGCAGATCCAGCAGAACTAATCATTATAGACCATTGTCGGTGCAGGTCGCTACGTCCGGAACGACGTTGTAGCGGCCAACCTAAAGTTAGAAACCATTCAGGAATTTGCGGACCGGCTGGCGCGCGGTATATTCAACCGCGCCGACAACGGGCCGCACTCACACCTCAACAACATCTCGCCGCTACACACCCGGCCCCCGGATGGGCAACCTTTACCATAAGAACTCCTCCCTGTATAGATTAGGGAGTCGAGTAACAGCCCACAAAGTCAAAGATCGAGCAACCATTATAACTTGACCCAAAACAAACAGCTAGCGGAGGACCATTCTTGCTAGCCGTAATACCTACAACGGCGAAACAGCTCCCAAAACCGGCCCATAGTAGTGGGTCGTGAAGAAAAGTATGCCCCGAGGCCTGAGACCTGCAGTGCATAGCACATGCAGATGACACGTACCAGCTTGCAATTCGTTCGGGACTGCGACAGTTCTAGGAAATACAATCAAGAAAGAAAAAGTAAAAGTAGGGAAAGCAGTCGAAGTTCAATATCACATTTCCAAGGGGAATTTTATTGAAGGAATTGCTGTTATATTTCAAGATCCTTCAGTGTTCACCGTAATAGTAGGGTAAAGAAGATACAGTACATATAAGCTCATGCGATAGGTGTCAAGACTAAGATAACCTTAGTAGTTTTTATGTACAAGACTGTTTTTTATAAATAAAAAAATATAAAAAATAGACCCACTTTACTGTACGTAATTATTCACGAAAATGGATGACCAGAAGAACCGTAAATGAGGCTATTTAAATTTTTCGTATTCGCATTTGTATCGATAATGTTGCCACATGTAAAACTATACCACATTCATTTCCTGGCCTTGGATTCTTGGCATTTTGCCACAACCTCATTCGCACGTGATGTTGCTTCTGTTCCCAAAATGCTTCACCCAAATCCCACAAATGGGTAGTGTCGGCTTTGCACTCACCAATCGCATCTTTCAGGTTATCAGAATAACTAAAGAAACGGTATTGATGAGTGTAAATACTAGGGCCGATGCAGATGCAAAGGCAAAATCTTTTGCTAGTGTCATAAACGGAGCGGAGTAAAAGTCTAAAGTCATAACTATTTTTATTTTAACAAAAGATTCAATCAAATGGTGTGACATTGCGCAGATGTAAATTAGCGAATTGATTAGACAGTAAAATAAAAAAAATTGAAATTCAGATTTTTATTGTTAACAAACCTTGTCTGCGTTGAGCTACAAATATTGCCAAAAAATTGGCGTACGGGTTACGGAGGAAACAGATTTCAAAGAATCGTTTTCTTGCGCTATGGGAGTTCCGCTCCAATTAAAACGTCCAACATCCATCAGCGGATCAAAAAAGGCTGATAAAGAAACGATAGGAACAAATAAATGGACCAGATTATAATACAGTGTAGTAGACCCCAACTCTTGAGCGTCTCATGGACTTGCAGCTGACATCAAAAAAGGAAAGCTAAAGATGCGTCGTCACCTCTGCTTCCGACTCAGTGGCGGGCAATGAACGGCTTTTACGGCCGGTCCGTATATTTGATAAAAAAAAGCTTTTTAGTGTACTTAATTACTGAACTTTTTTCTATGAATTGAAGACAAATCTGTTGACGGACGAATTTAAAACGATTTTAAAAACTAACTATAATTACTTAAAGTCTATTTCAAGACCAATAATTACTAACCATTTTTGAACGGAAAGAGTTATTAAGTCACAAATATTGATTTAAAAAATCAGCGTTTTAGCCTGATGTAAAAAACGGTTAGGTACAAATATGTCACGAATATCGTAAATGACCCAACACCGCCTCTGAGGGCCACACCTTTGAGTTCCGCTTTGAAAGATTATATTGTTATTACAGTTCGGTATAATTACAATAAGTAGTGTGGCATCAGGTTTTAAGCCATGTTAGCCGAGCGAAGGCGAGCCTAGACCCTACCAATACCAACGACCGTAGACAGCTCAATTATTCAGTCTCGCCATGGCACTTCGTCGCTCGCCTAGCTGGCCGAGTGCACAGGTGAACGCCAACGTGTCATACGGTTCGTTTGGCGCGCCTTGCGCGGTTTGTAATTGACGAAGATATCGAATAACATATATTAAAAAAAAACATACAGTGAAACTGTTAATCTCCTTCTTTTTAGAAATGTTAAGGCGACACCGTGAAAAAATGCACCTCCTTTCATCGAATAATATAAGACTATGACACCACTAAGGAAAGTGGAATTTTGATATAGGTAAATTCATGTCTTTATCTTGAATTTGATTGTTCCAAAACACGATTATATAATTTTGACTCGATCATAATTATTTGCGGAAACACCTCTAAAAATCACTATAGTTGAAATTACAACGAAATTACTTAATCTATATGTTATATATATTCATAACCTCAATATTCATAATTTAATTGCTCATTATTTGAATTACCTACTTAAATTAGTAATTTAAAAAAAATATTTTAAGATTCTGACAATTTCTAAACGCTTTTAATCGTCGCGGGCGCTACGCAATTTTAGACCGTATGACGGCAATTTTTCAACTTTTTATAGAAATTATGTATTCACTCGGATCAGTACGGCGATAGCCTTTTCGATGTGTCGTCTTAAGGTGTGTGAACTCAACCTTATACATAACTCAAAGGCTACCGCCGATCCGCGTCTACCCGCCACAAAACTCCGCCACTCTTCAAACTCTAAGATCAGAAATTGTTTGGTCCGACCTGGAATACGAACCCGGAATCTCATTATCAGCAGACGCACCTACAATCACTAGACCAACGAGGTATACGTTAAAAATACCTATATTTTGAACAAATACGTATACAAAACTGTAACCTACATAACATTGAAATAGGTACTCTGCTCTGCTTACCCCGTTAAAGAGTTGAACGTAAGCAAGTGATTTTTTTTATTTATAGCAATGACAGGAATACGGCAAAATCCCACACAAATTTTTATCTATTACAAGTAAAAAATATGTACATATTAAAATACAGTGTTATCTCTATCCACTGAATTAGTCTTTGTTCAATAAACCACTTTTATTTGACCTATTACGAATGATCTTAA